GTATATTGTAAGACTGCTGGAATAATATCACTATAATGCTGTTATGCTGACATATTTGAATCCTGGAGCAGATGGGCCAATTCTGGTCCCATGCCAGTTTTTATACATCTGGTCAACTTGACTCTGGAGTAGTGGAGGCTACACATATAAACAAGTCAGTCACGGACACCCACAAAAGCAGTGTAGGATAGCCGTTGGAGTACTGCCAAAGTAGTGAGGAAGAAGAATAATGTGCACATGAAAAGTAAATCTGCACTAACTCAATTCACATCAAATTTAGTATAGTTTGAAAGAAGACTCCAGAATTTGCACTGAGTAGGAAGTTAGTGCACTTTAAAGGTTTGCATTGTGTGGATGCAAGCATTTTCAATCAGCACAAACTCAAATTAGCATGGACTAAACCCCCTCTGTAGACAAGTGCTACAATGATTGATTTACATTCAGTACACATTTGAAAGGTTTTCTTCTCAACCTTACAGGCTACAAACATGGGGTTTTTTTTGGTTATTTTTAAGAAAGTTTTGGTTATGCATTATTTGTGTTAGAGTAGCACTCAGAGTCCTCAACCAGATTGTTCCTCATTGTGCAGGGTACTATACAAACATTGGGATAATGTGCCAGCTAATGAGGGAACTTTTCTACTCACCATTGGTAAATGCATTTGTCAAGCCCTGGCTCACTGACTTACTGTTTACATGGCTGTCTTAAATAGTATTTGTACTTCTGTGTGATTCATTGTGAGTCATAAAACTGTGTTGCTGCATAATGTGCAACAGCTGAAGCTAGCTAAGAATTTTGTTTTGCATTTAACTAGATGGCATAGCACTAAAGAAAACAGGACTGTGGTTGGAAGGGTCTTTTCTGAAATGAATAAAGAAATATAATTCATATTTGCTCTCAATTTTAATAACTCTTAAGGATTAATTTTCAGACTGATGGTTTATTGAATTGTAAACAGCATTTTCAGTTGTCTCAAAGAAAATGAGAATTGTTTTCCAAATCACAGCTCTCGTATAAATCTATTAAATGACCCTACATTTGTTATTTTAAAGGGTTTGTTGTGTATTATCTATCTTACATTAACTTCTTCAGTGAGAAATTAGTTGTCCTGCAAAAATTCTCCTTTTACAATTAATTTTGTAGCAAACCAGAGAGTTGTCGAACAGTTTGGAAGATAAAGAGAGTGCACAAATACAATGACTAAGTTTTAGTCAGTTATGTTGAATATGCAGTTCCATACTTAAAGGAACACTCACAATATGCATCCGAAGAAGTGGGCTGTAGTCCACGAAAGCTTATGCTCTAATAAATTTGTTAGTCTCTAAGGTGCCACAAGTACTCCTGTTCTTCTTTTTGCGGATACAGACTAACACGGCTGCTACTCTGAAACCAGTTTAATAATCATGAGCAAGATTTTCAGCTGAAGTAAATGGACGCAATCTATATTTCAGAAATATGGGGCCAGATCCCAACCTGGTATAAATTGATAGTGGAACTATACCGATTTACATCAGCTAAGAATTTAATCCCATATTTTAAAAATATAAGTGTTCTTATCAACATTATAATGTTTTCAGTTATTAAGTGAAACTTCAGAACACAAGTTTGTTTTTCACTTGTTCTTCCCCACCCCAGTCCTTATCCCAGGTGTATTCTCCTTTGTAACCCAGTCCCAGTTTCCGCTCCTCAGGCTTCTTGACACAGTCTCTTCCCACCTACTCCCAGTCTTATTGCCTAGCCAGTTGCAGTTCCCACCTCCCTTCTGGGTCTGTCTAAATCCCAGCCCTTTGCCCCTTCCCTGGGTCCTTGTTGCAATCTCTTTGCCCAGGCAGCTGTATACTGCCCTGCCCTTCCCCCCCCCCCACCACACACTCAGGATCTCAGTTCTTCCCCTCCATCTTTCATTCCCCAGTCCTCAGGCTCCCTCTCCCCCACCCCGCCCATGGCTGCTTGACCCACTTGACTCCTTCATTCCACCATATCTGCTTTGGCTCTTGTTCCCTCAGTATTCACAGGCACCTTCTTCCTTCACATTGCCTAGGTGCCAGCAAGAGAGTCAATGAGAGTACTGAAGGGAGGGTCTCTTCACCCTAGCCCTGAACAGCAATTGCAGGGAAAGTTCTGAGCGCCTGTATCCCCAAAATGGAACATGCTGAATTGAGCTATGGAGATGGCACATGTGCAGTACAGTCACATACAGAAGATGTAGCATGCAAATTTGGGCAGGTGTTCTTTGCAACAGCAAAAGATACATCCGTGGTACAAAGGTCAGTTGCCCGCCAAATGTCTTTGTCCAAAGTATAGGGATGCTAGACCTTCTCAACAAAATGGCGTAAGGATTTTTTTAACATGGCAAAACATGTTTTCCCCTAAATTTGTTCTTAGAAATGGCTGACCCATTTTGGCCAAAACATTTCAAAAAACAAACAAATGAAACCAAACAAACGGGGTGGGGGTGGGGGGACAAAACAACCCACTACAGCCTGAGGCAGATGCTCAGGATGGAGAATTTCAGCTCAACTTGTTAAAGTTTGGCACTGTTACAAGAATCTGAAAACATGGTCATGTAATAGGCGGTGCTGCTAGCTCCATCTATAACATAGGCTATCTCCAGTAACTTCACAAACTTGTTGGATTCAACTGGTTGCGGAGGTGGGTCTCAAGGAGGTACCTGGATGTGGAGAGAATATATGGCCTGTGAACCAGTTTGGGAAGGATGTGCTAGTTGCAGGGGTTATTGTGAAAGAACATGGGGAGATGCATATGGGGAAAGAGAATAAACAGGACTTCAAAGCTTTCGTCATTGACTGACTGTAGGGGCTGTTTCAGAAAAGAGACCAGGGTGGACTGGTAGGAAACGGAGCAGAGAGATGCCAGAAGGCTGGGATAAGAAGCTTGAACTTGCTGCATGGGTAGGGAGACAAAGGGAAGAAGGGGTGGAGTTGTGGTCAGATTGGTGGGTAAAGAAGATAGTCACAGCAGCTATGCGGGGCAAGAATAGGGCAATTTGCATTTTATGGAGGCCAGAGAGGAGGAGAGTGCAGTAATTAAGAGGAGAGGTGACCAGGCCTGAAAAAAAGTAGAAGAAGAAGAATGGGTTTTGGAAATGCTTCATTTCAGATATGCAAAACAGTCAATAATAAACAAAGGGGCCTTGGGTTACAACTTTTAAATGAATGAGAGCTTTGTTTTTGCCTTGTCTATTCATATATTTAAGCTTTTTTTATACAGTTTTAAATATATTTGGGTTAATGTATTTTTCTAAAAAGGAGACACATTTGTTTACAGCGCAGCGCTACTGTAGATTTCTTATATTTTTACATGTTTAGCTTTTAATTTAATTGAAAGTTCATGTTCCTTTTTTTAAAAACATAACCCTTCATTCACTGTCCCATTTTGCTGAGGTATTCTGTTGCAGTAGAACATAATGGCATTCTAGCAGCATTTGTGTTTCAAAGTGAGGAAGCTGGTACATGATTTAGCATCTCTATTGCTTCATGCACGCAAACTTTTTGACCTGAGGGCCACATCGGGTTTCCGAAATTGTATGGAGGGCCGGTTAGGGGAGGCTGTGCCTCCCCAAACAGCTTGGCATGACCTGGCCGTGGCCCCCATCCGACCCCCCGCTGCTTCTTGCCCCCTGACGGCCCCCCCGGGACTACTGCCCCATCCAACCCCTCCATTCCCTGTCCCCTGACGGCCCCCCCCCGGACCCCTGCCCTATCCACCCCTCCTTGTCCCCTGACAGCCCCCAGTTCCCTTGCCACTGACTGCCCCCCGCTGCCCCATCCAACCGCTCCTCTCATTCCTGACTGCCCCCCTGAGACTCCTGCCACCATTCAACCCCCATGTTCCCCCCTCTGACCGCCCCGACTCCTATCCACTCCCCCACCCCCTGACCCCCACCCCGAACTCCCCTGCCCTCTATCCAATGCCCCCCTGCTCCCTGCCCCCTTATCTCGCTGCCTGTAGCACCAGTGGCACTACAGCCGTGCCGCCCAGAGCACCAGGACAGGCAGCCGTGCCGCGCGGCTGGAGCCAGCCATGCCACTGCGCAGCACAGAGCACCGGGTCAACAAGAGCCCGCAGCCCAGAGCGTTGCCCTGGCGGCTCAGGGAGCGGAGGCTGTGGGGAGGGGGATCAGCAGGGGAGGGGCTAGCCTACCAGGGCAGGAGCTCAGGGGCCGGGCAGGAGGGTCCCACGGGGCAGATGTGGCCCGCGGGCTGTAGTTTGCCCACCTCTAATGTAGAAGGTCCAGCAGTCAAAGTGTTAAAATTTTGACTTGACGATTGCTAAGAGTCTTCAGAAATGACATGCTTCAACCTCACTGCAAATGGACAGCACGTGCATTCTAATCAAACTGAATGTAGTTTGGGTACTGCTGACCCTGACCCTATGCCTGCCAAGTATATTAAAATGATAATATGTTATTGATTGCATTTTTATTGTAAGTGTTCCATAACTGTACACAAAAGTCTGATCTCTTGTGAAAGAAACCACATAGATATCACAGACACTAAACAATAATGTTATGCAGTATTGAGATGTAAACATATTTATGTTTCAGCATAGATGTTTTTTGGTTGTATTTTTTTAAAAAACTTGAAGGCTAAATTATTTGGAATACAGTGCATGAATAAATCTCAGTAACAAAACAGATGAAGCATTGCTTCACTTCTACAATTCTGTTTATTTTCTACAATACATTTTCGTGTTAACATAAGCTTTTTAAAACCATACCATAGCAAATGTTGACTGCAAGTATGGTAGTGGTGGTTTGTTTCATATAGGTGTCACTTTATCTCCTTGGTAACACTGCTTTCCTATGAGAGGGAAATTTCTTGTACATCAGTATGGATGCATTGTTTTTACACTTTAGAAGTGCTGTGTTGCCTTGTCAATCATCCTATTACAACCAGTTTAAGACCAGTAGAACTGACGAACTTGTGTGTGATTGGGTACCATATGCTGGGAGGGATTTGTTAGAAGGAAGGGCTGCAGTCTTTCAGCAACAGAGTTCAGGCTGTGTCTTTGCTTCATCATCTGAGAGAAAATCCCCAGATAAGGCATAAGGTTTTCAGAGTACAAAAAAATAGGGTGATAATTATTTTACATGAAAACTACTTATCATAATGATGCAATGGAAAAGATGTGGTCATTTGATCATATCATACGTTTCCGTTCACATTGTAAATGTGTCGAATAGACAGAGCTAAACAAGGTAAGAGGATCATTGTCTTTTATTGAATGTTTAAAGAGTTTGCTGCAGTATGCTGCATACCATATGTGTTGCTTGGGAGTCAAGGAAACAAGGTTTCTCCGGGCATATGTAGTCCTTGGAGGTGAAATGTGAATTTTATATGATCTTGTATGAGTGAATTAATTTTTAAAATGTAAATTGTTCTCTTGAGAAATAGAACACAAGTATATGTATATTTCATTCAAAATAACACCATTAAAAAAAGGAAATGTATTGGTATGTTTCAAAAAATACTGTTAGCCGAATTGGATTCTTCGCTGGGTTTTCATCTGATAGTGGTTGCTTGGTTTAATAAAGGCAATTGGTTAAGCTAAAAATCAATAAAGTTTACAGTAGATATGTTTGAAGATTCAGATGGAATTGGAACATGTCTGTTCTAAGCCATTGCCAGTATAAGGTCTGAACTAAAAACATGATTGTCATTCCACTATGACTTGTATAATACTGTAAGTATTTTTTCAATACACAGTGATTCCCTGTGTTCTTAAGGCAAGCTTCTAAAGAGTTTTAGATATTGTCGTTTAGTTGAACATTTCCCTGCCATTTCCAGGTCTTTGTTTTAGGTTTAAAAGTAGAACCTTAATCTAAAACAGGAAAATCAAGGTTGTTAATACTTACTGCAATTATCTGATCTTTATACATTTTTAATGAGAACACACAGCCAGCAGAATAATTTAATGAGCAGACTGGCTTTTAAAGCAATGCTTTCACTATGCTGCACAATATCAACTTTCTTCCTGAAAACTAGCAGGAGGAAGCAATGGAGAAGATTTATGTTAAATGGTCTTGGCAATGAGAAGGAAAGGAGGTATTTGGGACAAAAGTCTATTAAATTTTACATGGAATGGGGAGTTTGTACTGTATTGTTAGACCATGAAAGCAAGAGTTTATAGTAAATTTCACCAGAACATTGCAAGAGAGGTATGCAAATATAGGGTCTAATCCTGTGAGGTGCGAAGCTTCTTCCACTTCCATTGACTTCAGTGGGTGCTGATGTTACTCAGTACCTCCCATGATCAAACCCATAGATAGCAACAGGAATTAACCCTGTCTTCAAAAACATTGCAGTACTGCAGAATTTCCTGTGTATACAAGATGTAGTATAATTTTAAAAGAACAAGCAAAAAAATAATTGTAATGACATCAGGTAAAGCAGTGAGAATTTCTCTTATTGTTTCTCTAATGCCTATTATCATATTATCTAAGCATTACTACTCAAAGCACTGTTACCCACAGATGTGAAATAATTAAGATTGAGTTGATGAACAGTAAATATCAATGTGTTTAAAGAAGAAAACAAATTTAAAAACATTCTTACTGCCTATAAACATTAGCAATAGTGTGATTTTCAGAAGAGGTTTTGAATAATTGCACTAGTAACAAGGTAAACTATTTTTAAAGGGCAACATTATATAGATTCTTATAGATGTACCGTTTATACCTTCAAGGAGAAGTACAGGACACTAGCTCAAAACTTCTGATGTCATCTCCCAATTCTTCATGGTCCACTTATACTTTTTTTTTTTGATGGGCAGGAGTTGGTTCATGTCTGAAAATACCCAACTAAATGCTGGATGAAGCAGTTGACACTAATTTTGGATTGTTATGTTCCAAACTTGTAACTTTTAAATGCTTAACTCATCTGAGTTAATGTAATAATATGTTTCTTTAAATAATTTTAACAAATCTATTATTAAATATAAAAGGATAGAGAGTCATTAAGACTTCTGCTAATGTCACAGATTGGTATTATGTCAACAATGTTTCCAATTGCTACCTAAATTTTAAATGTAGTATTTCTGTCTACCTTCATGGAGTATGCATCAAGCAACCTAGAGGAAAACTATTTGTGAAAAATTAAATAAATAGTTCCATCTCTTCTAAACTACAAAATATAATTTAAGATTCATGAACAGGATTTTTCTTCACATACAGAGTTTGTTTTTGTGTGTTTAAAAAACAAACAATTCTCCTTAAGGATACATGTATGAACCTTCCCTTTTAGATTCTTCCCACACAAAACAGACCTGTTATACTTTCAGGTGGGCTTTTAGTCTTATGGTATAGCTGGGAGAAAAAAATTGAAATTATTTGTAATGAACATGTAAATACTGGATATTAAATTTATTTGGGGCTAGATTCTAATAACCTTACTCGTGTTTAGTAGTAAAAATTTCTCCATGAGTAGCCCCATGGATTTTAGTGGGACTACTTGTGGAGTAACTTATGACTTGGTATGGGTAAGGATGGCAAAATCTGGCCCTTAGAAATAGTATGTAGTCAC